AAACTAAACTATACACTAACATTATTTAGTGAAAATATTTTTTTTACTTTTGTATGCTGAGTTATTTTAAAAATTAAGAAGTATTGTCTGTATATAAAAAAGTCATTGTTTTAATCTTATATTTGGTTTACTTAAATAACGTATGTTCACGCGCACGGCACATGATCTGCGCCGGCGGGAGTGGGGCGCGGGCGCCGCGGCTGCGACCGACCGGCAGTTACAATTACGGACGCACGGCGCGCGACACGAATAAGAATTTTATTTTAATACACATTTAAATCCAGTCCAGGTTTTGTTTGATTGCTGCAATTACAAATTCATCAGCCAATCCATCTCCCGGACAAAATTTGGCGACCGTGACAGGACACTCGCTCTGCATCCAAGGGCCGGTGAAGTCCAGAAGACCATAAGAATATATTCAGAAGATTCATAAGGAAGTAAGCCCGTTCCTTACCTAATCCCTTCCCTTGCACCGATTTGCATCGATTTCAGTGTTGAATAGTGTCGTGAGTCAACCTAAAAAGTGCGTTAATTACTTGTTTTAAAGTCTATTTTCCAAGTAAATAATCGATTAAAATTCCGAGTTACACGTATAGAATCATTCAACGGGTACTACGGAAATCTACCTACAAGTTTAAAAAAAAGTAAAACTAACGTTTAGTTCTACATTTAACTGCCCAAACTAGGGGGGTAAATTTAAAAAACCCCAAAAAAGGGGAAAAAAAAAAAAATTTTCCTTTGTCTTTACGTTTGCAATAAGTATTTTTGCTTATAGATATTTAACTGCCCAAACTGGGGTCTTTTACTATTTCCTTTGTCTTTACGTTTGCATTAAGTAACTTTGCGCGTTATAGATATTTAACGGCCCAAACTAGGGGTCACAACTGTATATACATATACATATGGACTGAACAATTCAATATCTACAGCCACTGAATATTGTACATTAAAATTAAAGTCAAGAATTAATGCCTACACTACGGATGTACATTGTATGATTATATCAAATATTTCAGAAAACTTACCTAGTGTAGAAATCGATCCCGAGGATTTAAACATACCCAACAATACTGCACTCGCCGATCCAAGCTTCCATAAAAGTAACAAAGTTGATATAATATTAATTGGGTCCGATGTAATGTGGAATATTGTTAAGGGAGGTTGCCAGATATCGTTAGGTGAAAATAAACCTAAGTTAATTTATTCGAAGTTTGGATGGTTGGTTTCAGGGCCCATGACTCTGGCCATGCCATCTGTGAAGTGTAACAAGAAATCTGTATGTCATTTTAGTCAGGAAATTAAAGACTCACTTTCTAAATTTTGGACTTGGAAAATTTAATAATGCCAAAACGATCATTGTCAACAGATGAACAAATCTGTGAAGATTCCTTTAATGAAAATACAATTCGCTTACCGTCTGGTAGATTCCAAGTAAAAATGCCTTTGCGCGAGTCTCCTGAGGCTCTTGGAGACTCTTACTCACTTGCTAAGAGATGTTTTTTAAATTTGGAAAGGCGTTTCCAAAAGCAGCCGAAATTAAAGGAAATGTATAGTGATTTTATACATGAATATGCTACGTTAGGTCATTTGACAGAAATAGAGAAGCCGCCTATTGGAAATTATTTACCTCATCACGCGGTGCTGCGAGAGAAAAGCGAGACCACAAAACTTCGGGTCGTTTTTAACGGCTCTGCTCGCACAGCATCAGGTAAATCGTTAAATGATATCCAGTATGTGGGCCCAGTAGTACAAAATGATTTGATGTCAATTTTGTTGCGATTCCGCCAGCACAAGTATGTATTAACGGGGGACATTGAAAAAATGTTCCGCCAAGTAAAACTGGATGAATCGCAACGTCACTTACAGCTGATATTATGGCGAGACAATGAAGCTCAGCCTTTGCGAACATTGCAGCTCAATACTGTAACGTATGGGACAGCATCAGCCCCTTATCTGACCACCAGATGTTTAGTTCAGTTATCAACAGAGTGTTCAGACAAACGAGTAGCTAATACTATAAAAAACGATTTTTACTGTGACGATCTTATAACCGGTTGTGATAACAAAACAGAACTCAAATACTTACGTGATGCAGTCGTCGACAAGTTGGCTGAGGCTTGCCTCCCACTTAGAAAATTTAGAACTAACATTCCGAGTATATTTGCGAGTGAATCCATTTCAACCACATGTACTGAAAAGGATTTATCCCAGACAAATGATCAGTACTCTAACTTACAGAATCAATCCTCAGTGCTGGGGTTGAATTGGTGTCCCTCACAGGATAAGCTGTATTTTTCAGTCGACTTTCAGATTGAACAGCCGTTCACAAAGAGAACTATTCTGGCAGCAACATGCAAGATTTTTGACCCCCTAGGGTTGCTAAGCGCTTGTACAATTGTTCCTAAAATGCTGTTACAAAGGTTGTGGGAGTCTAAACTGGACTGGGATGATTTGGTGTCCGCCGATGTATCGAAACAGTGGAGTGACTTTGTAAATAATTTAAATCAAATAAAAGCGATAAATATTCCACGCCACGTTTTGCATCCATCGTCGGACACTCCAGTGTCAGTGGAATTACACTGTTTTGTCGATAGTTCCCAGAGTGCATTTGCAGCATGTGTATTTATACGTTGTACTGATCAAGAGGACAACGTATCAGTCAAGTTATTATGCGTCAAGGCTAGAGTTGCCCCCTTGAAGCCCAGTACCATACCGCGGCTGGAACTGGCAGCGGCCCTACTTGGTGCTCAGTTAAGTTCAAAGGTTTGTCAGTCACTCAGTCGTAAGTTTGATCAAAAATATTTCTGGAGTGATTCTACAATTGTGCTGGGATGGATTAAAAATACCAACCCTAGTAATCTAAAGCAATTTGTTTACAATCGAGTAAATGAAATTCATGAACTGACTGACAAATCTACATGGCATCACATTTCTACAGAAATAAATCCGGCAGACATAGCTTCTCGAGGAGTCAGCCCTAGCAAGCTTCAAGATTTAGAATTATGGTGGAGTGGCCCACCCTTTTTAATGAAACCTAAAACGGAGTGGCCAAGCGCTCCTATAGAAAATGTTGAGCTTCCGGAGCTCAAAGTATATTCATGTTGTGTGTCTGCTGAGCATTCATTTGAGTTTGATAGGTTCTCGAAATTTCAACGAATGATCCGGGTGGTAGGATATATCTTAAGATTTATTCACAATTGTAAAACAAAGAAGGATTCGCGGCTAAGTGGTGATCTGAGTAACGATGAAATAGATAGGTCTACTCAGACCCTAATCAAAACCTGCCAACAAGATTCCTTTCCAAATGAGGTGCAATCATTAAAAAACAATAAAAAGATACATCATAAATCGAGGATTTTGTCATTAAACCCTTACTTAGATGAGCATGATTTGATTAGGGTTGGAGGCAGAATCCAAAACTCAATCTGTGAGTATTCTAAAAAACATCCCATTTTATTATGTGCACGTCATAACTTTACGAAACTGTTGTTTCAGAAGGAACATGTGCGTCATAAACATTGTGGGCCTGAATTATTACTTAGCATTATACGAGATCAATATTGGCCCATCGGGGGACGTAATCTTGCACGCAGTACATTTAGGAAATGTATCGTGTGTGTTCGTATGCAGAGTAACTCAATACAGCCTATGATGGGTAACTTACCCCCTCCTCGAGTCACTCTTACCTATCCCTTCCTCGCGACAGGCGTAGACTTTGGCGGGCCCTTCTCAATCGTAGACCGCAAGGGCAGAGGATGTAAGATATCCAAATGTTGGCTTAGTCTTTTTGTGTGTTTAAGCACTAAGGCATTAACTTTGGAGGTGGTTAGTAGTCTGAGTACTGAAGCATTTTTAATGTGTTTGCGTAGATTTATATCACGTCGTGGCAAGCCTCATGATATTTATTGTGACAATGGCACCAACTTTGTGGGTGCAAATAATGAGCTAGGCAGAATGTTGCAGGCAAGCCAAAGTTCTGTAAGTGCGGCTGCCCACGACGAGGGCATTAAATTTCATTTTTCGCCCGCTTATTCCCCTCACTGGAGGGGGCTGAACGAGGCTGGAATCCGTTCAGCAAAGTTACTAATGAAACGTGTAATAGGAAATGCGAACCTGACGTTCGAGGAGCTCACGACGCTATTCACCCAGATTGAAGCAATTCTTAACTCCCGCCCGTTAACTCCTCTAACGTCAGACCCTTCCGATGTTACTCCTCTGACTCCAGGGCACTTTCTTATAGGCCGGCCGCTGACAGCTTTACCAGAACCACCTATTTTAACAAATTATCCAAACAGATACCAAAAATTGGAACAGCTTAAGCGGCATTTCTGGGACCGGTTTCATAGGGAATATTTAAGTGAGCTGCAGCAGCGGACTAAGTGGCGAGAGCAGAGGGGAACACTCAAAGAGGGCGATCTTGTTGTCATCAAGGACGACAACCTTCCCCCAATGCGATGGCGCTTGGGACGAGTTAAGAAACTGTATCCAGGGGCAGACGGCATCATTCGAGTAGCCGATTTCACGACCTCACGTGGCGTAATCCAGAGGGCCTTAGGCAGGGTCTGTCTGCTACCAGCTATCAACCCAGAGGACGAGTCTCTTGGTAACCAGGGTTCCCAAGGCGGGGAGCCTGTTCACGCGCACGGCACATGATCTGCGCCGGCGGGAGTGGGGCGCGGGCGCCGCGGCTGCGACCGACCGGCAGTTACAATTACGGACGCACGGCGCGCGACACGAATAAGAATTTTATTTTAATACACATTTAAATCCAGTCCAGGTTTTGTTTGATTGCTGCAATTACAAATTCATCAGCCAATCCATCTCCCGGACAACGTACATACAACAAAATATGTGTCACACAATAATTATTCGTATCTTTTATTATTAACTATTGTAAAATAACAAAAACAGTTTTTCAAAGTATAGCGATTCGATAAATCGACCGAATACCATAACCTAAAAGATCATTTATGGATGAAATATTGCAATAATAATTTAATCTACAAAGGTTTCAAAATATATCTCTCTACGAATTCTTCCGAAACTTGTAACTGTCTCTCTCTGTAAACCGTACATTCCCGGGCGAATGCCAGCACCGGCTCACTCCTGTCTTCATCCATGAGCTTCGTAAACGTATCGGGGTTGTCAAAAGTTTTCTGAGCCAAGGATGGACTCATGAGCGTGAAGGGAAATATCGCCATTGCCTGAACCATTGCAAACATACGGGCCCGCTCGCACCAGTTGAAGAAATCCCACCTCCCATAGTTATAATCTTTTAACTTACTCTTCACTGTATCATCTAGATGCTGAGTGAAAACTGTATAATACTGATTAAATATCTCCTTTTCGTGAGCTCTTCGAAACTCTTTAGACGTAGTCAAATATAGGAATATCATGAGATCGAGCGCGGGTGGAGCGTACCTTACACATTGGAAGTCCAACAACACAGCCTCTGATGGGTGCCCCTGTTCGTATCGGAAAAGAATATTGTTAATCCACAGATCTCTATGAATAATTACATTCAAGCTATCTTTACTGGGCTCGAGGTCCTCACAGGCTTTAAAGAAAAGGTGCGTAAGTTTTTCCTCAAGATCGTCAATATTTTTCTGGATTTTGTTAGAAAACGCTTGAATTAAATTAAAAGATAACTTTGCGGCGGCACGAAGCCATGATGCGGTCCAAGGTGCGTCGAAATGTGGCGACTCCTTCAACACGCTTATATGGTCTTTGTAAAAACTGTTTCGTTGGTGATGAATAATGTCTCTTTTGGCTTCAAAGCACGCGAAGCTGGCGTGGAATCGTGCCAAGGACGATACAACGACCGCGACGTGCTGTAAGTCCAAACATTCGTGATGAGAAATAGACTTGTAGCCTTCAATCGACAAATCAGGCATAACAATGAGGCTATCCGTGTGTATCCAAGCTTTTGGACACCATGGTTTCAGTTCTGCAAAATAGAAATAAATAACATTAGGTGTACCTAATTTGTACATTTTCAGTATTTACAAATTTTGAGGTTTCTCTTATTTTACTAGAAATGAATATTTTTTTTACTAATACTAATTAATAATTATAAAACGTTTGTTCGAAATATACAAATAGATCGAAATAAATATAATAAATTGGGGGAATTTTGTTTTTGTAATTAAACTGGTTTCTTGTTTACTAGGCGCCATTTATTGTATATATTTTTAAAAACTATATAATTTAATTTTTTTATATAAAGTCAAGCTTACCGTTTGCGACGCCAATTTCCTCAAATAACTTGTAAAGGAGGTTCTCTCGTTTAAAAAAATTATATTCACCGATAAACTCTGCTTTAGGTTTATTCAGAAGCGGCAGAAACTTTGCAAAGAGGTGCAGCTTCTTCGTGAAATCGCCACTCTCGAGGTGAACGGTCAACCTAAAGTGGTCTCCCAAGAAACCGGACAGCCCCTGCCCGGCTACTTTTATATCATACCCTAGTATCGTCCATTCGTGTGATGCCGCTCTGTGAACGATGCTCTTTATATCTCTCTCTGTAAGAATGCTCTCCACACTTTTACACTTGAGCGCCTCCATACTCAATATTACCTCTGTCGATATCCAAACGGTATTTATAGGATGAAAGCCATTCAGAAGACTATTGTCAGTTTTCTTCCAATATTTGTGTTGTCTGTATTTCCACCGATAAAATTTAATTTAGTCTCTCGTGACTATTTGCGAATTGATAATATTAGATAACAATATAATGGTAATATTGATAGAGGAATTACAATTGTTTCTACTGTGTTGAACCGTTCTTTGTCCTATCCGATGTCGCCGGAAAGAGGGCAATATTTCGAACGTTAAGTTATAACATTACAAATGTTTAAGGTATGTTGGGACTCGGTATAGAACAATCAAACACCTTTTTGTATTATATAATTTTTATATTATTAGATAAACAATTTAAATAAACTATAACATATTTTTTTGATAAATCCTAAATAAAAAAAATGGAAGTTTATCTGGAAGACTAAGTCGAGGAGCTCTGCTAGTGTCTTAATATATCTTCTACAATTATAATAAAAAATACAACCTATCTCTGACATTAATAAAGGCACAAACTGGCAAGACTGAGGTACTTCTCTCTCTCTCTCTTACAAATAATCTCTACCTTTCTTATTAAATATTGGGCAATGGAGATTCTCGGACAGTCTCCGCTTTTTTATATTAACTATTTCGGGAGATGAGAGGGTGGAAATGCCAACCCTCCGTTACAAAACTCTTACTCTCTTACATACTCTCTCTCTCTCTCTCTCATAAACTCGAGAGCTTACAATTATTTTAATTTGACGTTTTGTCCACATCATTCATTTATTAAAAAAATACTTCCCAAACTTATATGGCTGTACAATTTATTGATCTTAATTAAATAGTATATTCTAACGACAACAAATCGATGTCAAAGTAATTGCAGACGTTTAATTGTCTGATTATAAAAAACCAGTTTGAATTGAACTTCGGCAGATAAATATGTTTTAAATATTATTCTAATAAATACTCTAGACATCAGTCGATGTATATCCTTCCTTTTAATATATTATTGTGTGTTTTATAAACCTTACATTAAATGCCTCAATTGGAAGACTCGTTTTACCCAAATTCTACTATAAAAGGTATATTTATATTACTTTTATAAATGTTAAATATTCCTTAATATGTAAATAAAATACGAAAATAGACAAGTTTCGTTTGTACTGGAGTCCCATCTTCGCCGTCTCTCGCTACGAGCCGCAGTCCCTGAGCAGAGAAGTGAGATAGTGCAAGGTGTCAAGCAGCACCTTGTCGTACAGGGGTGGGCCGTAGTGGTGGGGCGCGGAAGGCGGGGCCGGGATCCGCCAAGAGACCACGTGTTCGCGACCGGTCGTCCGAGACGCGGACACCGTGAACAGGACGCGACGCTCCCACGCGCCCTGCAGACCGGCCAGCACCTGGAGGGGGCGAGGGACCAGTTGCTCATTTCAGTGGATGCTTTCAAAAATAGCAGCGAGTCAACGATCACAGCGTGTGGTGAAATACCTGTCGTCCGACGGGGGTGTCGGGCAGGAGGGTGTGTCTCGGGAACCCCACGGCGTAGTAGGGGGAGCCGGGGGCCGGGTGCCCCGCCCCTTGACGACCCGATTGGAAACTGCGAATGACAAAACCGAGTTCAGAGAATACAGAGATGGCGTCGCGGGTTGTCGGCGGACATCACTCACTTGTAAGTCACAAGTATGGAACCGGCGTGCGAAGGGTGCCCGGGGAGGGAGTCAGGCTGGCGCCTCCAGGCCATGGAGCCGCACGGCTGCTCGCCTCCACTCTCCCGGGCCTCCCTTTCCCTTTCTCTATCTCTATCTCCGTTGCGACCGTACTGCTGACCGCATACGAGGCACTCGATGTAGGTCGCACCCTTAAAAAATATATTTTAATGTTTTTTTTACCTTTCCATAATTGGCTAATTAGAGAAAAATATATTATGTATGTCGATATCCTATAAGAGACAACTAATACAACAGAGTCTGCGCCCACCTCGGTCTCCCGTATCTTCCGCTTGTGAATGCGCAGACAGCGGAGATGCATCTCGTGGCCGCAGTGCACCAGCGCCACGACGTCTCGGAGTTCGCCTCGCTCGTCCAGGGGCAGCGCGCACGCGGGGCACCACGCCCCGGCCCCTCGCCTCGCGCCCCCGCCCCTCACGGGCACCACGCTGCGCCACACGGCCCACTCCTCCTCGCTCACTCCCACGCAGCTGGGCTTCTCCAGCAACGGCTCGGGACCTACTTTAGTTTTACTCTTTTTTATTCGTTCGATGGATCCTCAATGACAAAGCGGCAGCTAGGAATTACCTGTAATGTTATCGAGTGCGGGCGAATCGGAAACGGGGACAGGGGTCTCGAACACGTCGTCGCTGCCCATGCTGCAGTTCAGGAGCTCGCCGACCGACGCTTGCTGAGAGCAGAGAGAATGGCGTAAAGCAACGAATAACTCTCCGAAGTGCGAAGCGTCTTCTGCCTGCACCTGTAAGCTCTCCTTGCTCTCGTGGCTGAGGTACGTGGACACGGTGTCGACGCTGTGCCGTCGACCCGACCTGCTGCTGCCGCAGTCCGTCTCTTCTTTCTCCTTCTCCTTTATTTCCACGTTGCCTTTGTTATTATTGCCTGTGACAATGAACCACTTATTTAGTGCTCGTCATTTAGATACTTTGATATAAAAAAAGGGATTTCAAGGTGAGGCCATGAGGCTGGATTTTGAACGTTTCACCTGATTCGCAGGCAAACACGAAGTCAGCGGTATTTCATAGACGACGATCTTACTGAAAATATTGAGGTTGTGCAGAATTTGGCGAGCGAGTCCCGGCTTCCTGTCTCGGGGCGAAGCACTGCGCGCCCCTCCCCGCACCTCCCGACTGGCGCCCGCGCAGGGGGCCGACTTCACGGACTGCCCTGACACCGCGGACTGTACCGATTGCACCGACTGGACACTGGACCCCGTGTGCTGCTGGGGTATACGCGGTCGACGAACTAGGGATTTTTTTTTAACATAGACATCAGTTAAGGTTTGAACATCAGAACTTGAATGAAAATCTTGTTCTCGACACAACAACTATGTGGAATAATAATATCTTTCTTTTTAACTTTAAAACCAGTAATATTTAGTTAGCAGAGTATGGGAGGATTGTAATACTTGATAAACCACTAGACATGAAAAACTATTACCATCAAAAGATGCCCTTTCAGGTGGGGCAGGCGGAGGGGGTGTAGAGCGGGTGAGAGGATAGGGCGGATGCGCAGCCCTTCGTAGAAGCCTCAACACCCCAGGCAAACCTGTGATGTGACGTTGGGCAGTCATACTGGATAGTGACACCACCCAGCCGTCAAATGATACAGCTTCAATTCCCCGCTCCAAAGCCTCTTCTAGACGACATTGTACCTGATAATTATAATAATGAATTATTGTTAGTAATAAGCATCTTTAAAAAAACTAAATATTACCACATAACAAACCTCCATAGGCAGAGGATCGTATCTAAGCTCAGCGGCTCTGGGAGGATCTGCCAGTCGCGCCCACTCCCAGCGCAAGCCGCGCCCTCCGGGAGAACTCACGCTGTAGCAAGATCGTCGTACACGACATTCTGATATACCTAGATTTAAAAATTACTTAGAACTTATGTAAGATTTGCCAGAGCAAAATCAATATATATTTATTTTTTTATTCATTAAGCCTTTAAAAATATGTCCTAAAAGAAAACTTAACCATTGTTAAAAACTTAAACATTTTTAAATTGAAGATTAAAACATACCTTGTGTCTCTGAACACTGTGTCAAAGTGCGTAAATTGACATAATGCCCCTTAAGAGCTGGTTCAGCATCTGCTAGGACAACCCTAGTTAGTTTCTTGGCATGGGCTCGTTCTAACGTCCTGGCAACACCTGGCGAATGAGGCAGCCACTGGCCGTCATGCTGCCACTCCCATACCACTACACAGTGGACTGACGACATTACATAAACACAGCTTACAATTTAGAACCCTGCAATTAAAATACCATATAAAATAGTTTAACATGTTTAATGCACACATGTCACACACAAACTCTATATATGTATCTATATTAAGTAAAAAAAAACATAATATAAATCAAAATCTCAAAACTAGGTATATCCTGCAAACATTTACATATTTTATATGTATATAGTAAAAAAAATATTGAAGATCATAAAAATTTGTCGTAAACCCCTCTGGCTTATTTATCTTGTTTGTAGACTGTTATGCAGTAAGCTATATTTTATGATAAGAAGCACTAAGTCAAGTCAGCAGCAGTAGTAGTGTGAGTAGATTTTTCTATAGCATGCACTAAACCAGAATTGTTAAACAGCACACTGTAGAAGAATTTAATGTTATCCTTTTTAAGTTAATAAACGCAGATTACGAAACTGTTTACATACCATTTTGATTAAATCCGTATTTACTATTCATGCCTCCAATTTATTTCACACTAAACGTTTTCATTTATGTTGAATGCATTTCATAACGTAACTCGTTTATTTAACAACTTGGCCATAACTTAAACGGATTTTTTTAATTAGCATTTGAAAACATATTTCACCATTTCTAAATTCTACTTCTGATTCTGGATAGATAACCACAGATTACAAACCCTCCTATATTATTATATTGTGCTCTGGATAGGTTTGCATTACAAATATCTTCCATTGTTAAATGTCATTGTCACAAGTTCACTTGTATAATCTATATAGATTTAGATTACAGTCTTCCTAGGCTGTGGTAAATTCGCCATTTTTTCAAGGTTTCCTAGTTGTCGTATTTTTAAACAAAAACATGGGTGATTTAATTCTGTGACTATTTATAGTTTATGAACGTTTAATATTAATTAGAGAAACCCTTAATAAAAAGTGGAGATATTCAATAACAAAAGCCATAAAATATGTCAAGTACGTAAACACTTCAGTTTCATATGGATCAATATAATTTATTTAGCTTCTAAAGTGTTTCTGTTGGTTTTTAAATATTGATAAATAAGAATTATGCCTAGATAACAAATGTCCTTGTATATCTTATAACACTTATTTGGTACATGCTCTTATTATACAATTATTTATTTGACTAATAGGCAAAGTAACCGCTGCGACTACTTACAGCTACTATTGTCACCCCATAGCGAATAATAGTTGTAGTTATTAAAATGTATTATAGTTAAAATATATATGTATCATAAATCATTGTATCCACTTATTCGCGGTCTTTTTTCAGACTGCTTGGACACTTACAATAACGTTTATATTATTTTTGCAATTAATCAAAGAATGCCTAGTTTTTGTGTATTACTAAAAACTCAAAACCATCTACTACTATCATAAAATATTTATTTAATTCACTTCTATTTCAGAAACGTATAACACACGTCAGTCAGCTATGCAGGTAAATTTTTAATTTATTTGTTTTTCAACATACAGTTTTATTGTTAAAGAATGACTAAATGAAATAATATTATGTCCAACACAGACACGGAAAGACACCTACTGGCTGTCCCCAAACACCAATCCCCAGTCACTCTGTAACAGTGCTAATACTCCCAAGTGCCTATACCAAAAAAAGTATTTGATGATTTGATTGCCTAAGGTTTATTAACTAGTAGTACTTATTTTAAAAGTGCTACATAGGTTTATTTCCTTTAGTACTGTGTTACTTGATATACTCAAAATAACATTACATATACCTTACATTTCTAAAACTTAAATTATATGTTAGGGCTCCCACACAAAACTGCGATGCGATGCTAATTTCTGCGATACGATTTAGTGCGGCAAACCGTTTGGTAGGGCGACCATTCCAAACACGTCAGCCGTACTGGACGTGTTTTTAGGAAGCGTAAGATGGATCGCAAAAAGATTATTGCACTGCTGTTATTGTTAAATAGATATAAAAGAAAAAGAAGATTCTGGGTTTGTCCATTTATTACGATTATGAACTCTGAACTATTTTACTCAAAAGTACTATGCGTTGAGGTCTCAGAGCGGACTAAAATGGCGTCACCAAGGATGACGTAATATCGCAGGAATGTGCGATGCGAAGCACATCGGAAATTCTTGCGGTGCGTTCGTGCGAATTCGCAGATATTTGCGATGCGATGCGAATTCGCGGTTTTGTGTGGGAGCCCTAAAACTTTTAAGAATTGAATTGATATAATAAAAATTCCAATGTGGTAGAAAATAAAATTGTAGTAATTTTTAATAAAAATATATCATATTTTCTTATCAATAATCATAGACATAATCTTTTTTTTCTTGCACAGATGTATTAGCCTCTTAGGGAGTGACTGATGGCTAGGAACTAATTATGTGCATAAGAACTAATTCTTATGTTCATACAAGTTCTAGGTACTTATTGTAGCAGTAAGCTATACTATTTGCTAATGTGTGACATGTCTGTGAAATTGTAACATTAAGTATGATTCTCTACTGTGTTTTGTGTCATAATATGATGCCTGCCAAATAAGGAATTAGAAATCTTTTTACTATACATACTAGTATTTTGCCATTGTCTCGCATTAAGTTATATGGATATAAAATATATTAAAATTATTTTAACACAATATTTCTAGGTTTTAGTTCTAAGCCCACATGAAATTGTTAAACATCATTGTATGATATGATGCACAGTGATATTGTTACAAAGTCACAGTGTGTTACATGTTAGTTATATGGTTGTTAATGGATTATGTACATCTGATCTCATTGTGTTAAACTTCTAAATGACCTAATACTCTAACCTGCAAGATCTAAAGTTACCAAGTCTCTCTTAACTTCTACTTTTGGAAATAGTTGTCAAAAGATTAGAACTTCACATTTCTAGTGAAACAATATTCCTTTTTTAAATAAAATCAGAACGTTGACAACGGTCAGTCCCTCATAGTTGCCCATTAGTGTACATTCCCAAGGGATTATTTTAATATGAAGTCAACTGTGGGATTTGATGCATTTAATCAATTGGCTCACTGATGCCAGTTCATGACACATGGAGTGCAAGACACACAGCAGCAACATGCAAATCAAGGATCTAATCTCAAGCAAGAACAGGTTACTCCTGAAAAATCTAATCAGGAGCAGAATAAGTCCAATCCAAATTTGGTACGTAAAAATTATAAGAAACTTTTTTCATCACTGAAACCATACTTTTTCATTAATATGTGGAAATATGATATTAGATCAAATATGATGTAATTCAATATATTTTAATTGATGATTTTTAACTGCTTTTGCTCTGCTAACTGTCCCTGTTTAGTTAGTCAAAATTTTTTTCCAGATTGACACAAAAACTGAAGCAGGCATGGAAATTACTTCGAATGGTGAAAATTCAGAAAGGCCTCCCTGGAAGAAGCTGGGAGTAGGTTCGTGAGACAAAGTTGTATTGTAATGATCTAATAACTAAAACTATCAAACATAATATTTATTTTATAATCATTAATCTAGTTTCATTAGCTAATCTGTGGCAATATTTTCCTCTTTTTAACCGATTTCAAAAAAAAAAAAGGTTATGTGATATTGTTGCTATTGAATAATATTTGAGTATGATCTATTGGGCATCCAAGTACGTGTGTTGAATCTTTTGGTTTAACTTCTAACACTCCGTTAATTTGAATTTAAAGTAAAGAGGATCTCGAACAAAGAGCGTCGCCGGCGGCAAAATCAGAGCCTGCGCCGACTGGTGACTCCCAAGAGCGCATTGATGGTGCTCAACGAAATGGTGTATGGCGCACCATTAGTAAGTTTGTTAAACACGATATTTGTCAGTATATCTCTTTATGTGTAGTTGTGTAATTTTATTTATTAAATAAATAATTTCAGGACTTCAGAGTGGATTGCGCTCCGCCAACCGGGTACTACGCATCGAACAACCCGAGCTTCTGCGCCGAAGTGACAATTGACGGGTGCAGTTATCGGGGCTGTGGTAATTCCTATTGAAGACGATAATCCCATTGGCTGTATCTCTTATTTTTCTTTGACTAATGCGTAGCGTTTTTCCGTCCGTCCAGGTGAAACGAAGACATCGGCCCGCAGCGCGGCCGCCGAGCAAGCCGTACGAGATATCATTATCAAAAAACTGAATAAATTTAACACCCAGGAGAAATCCAACGAGGCAAAAGATGGTGAGGAGAAAATGGAGACGGAAGAGGAGGAGCCCATGCCGATGATCCAGCTGGCGTCGTACGCGTTGCACAAGCTGTTCAGCGAGTGGGAGGGCGAAGGTCATCATGTGCCGCAGATCAGACCTCACAATTCCTCCGTAACTCACTTTCTGTTATATTATATATGTGGCCGATGATTATCTATATTTTTTTGAATGAATTTGTAATTGTCTCTGCGTTGAACTTAAGTTGATCGCAGGCGGAGTTAGATCAATCACAGCTGCTTCAATAGAATCCAACTCACGCTCGCGACGTCACCAGGTATCGGACGCGGACGTGGACCTGACGTCTCAAGCCAACGGCCCACCGCCTCCGAAGCCGAAGAAAGTGAAGACTCTCCCCGAGAACGCTGCAGAAATGCACCCTTGTATGCTGTTGTCGTACATGCGGCCGATGCAAGAGTACCGGGAGCTGGGGGTGCAGGGCGACCGTCCGCAGAACCTCATCTACACCATCGGAGTGGAGGTGGACGGCGCCACCTTCATCGGCCAAGGTATCGGATGCTGGCGAAACGTCTTATTTTATTCTTGTCTATTGTGAAATGAAGCTGTCAGTGCTTGGAAGGCATTCTCAAGAGATAATCATTCACATGTGACTCTGTCGCTCCTAAACGGCTTTACCCATTTTGATGGGGTTTAAACTTGATTGAGGAATTAATTAAATAGTAATTAATTTATAATTTAGTAAAAAGCTAAATGTAGACATGGCCTGCAGAGTGTACGATTGTTTTAATATTAAAATGAATGTTGATTGCAGGACCAAACAAGAAGGAGGCTCGCAAGGACGCGGCCACGTCAGCCTGCAATTCGCTGTTCGGAGTCAAATTCCAACAAACATAAAATAATATTCAAATATTGTATTATTAATATTCGTCATTTACGCCTTTAAATAGACGTAAGCTAATTATTATTCCTTTAATTGCAATTAAACATATACAATGATTGACCTGCCTTTTATTTGTGATAATGTCGCTACGTGACAGTCCAATCGTATCATGTGAACGTGCTCTCAATTCTCTTACGTGAAGTAAGACTTATTTCTGAAAATGATAATCAAGGAAATCACAATATGTTCATGTTTTCAAAATCGTATGAAATAACAGCAAAATAATGAAAGACGTGTGCTTTGAATTACCTTTAATAACATAAATTACGAATACTGGAGAATACTTGTTCGTTAGGCATAAAAATATATAGTAAAAACCTATTCATCAGCATACCTACGTATGTAATGTATTAAGAATATCAAATAACAGACTTGAATAATTCCACGTATTGCACAGTCGGCGCAACATCGAGTTGGCACTATCAACAATTAACTTAAATATATTGCACTGCGATCATGGTTAAACAATTGCGAGAAGCATTGGAGATGCCAAAAAATACCTTTAGCAGAATTTTATACCAAAATTACGTATCAATTAATTTATTATAATTGAGCGAACTCTCGTCACTACCATTCTTAAAGATTTAATACAATTTAACACGTACGGAGGGTATCATTACTTAGGACTATTGCGGCGCCCTTTTGGGACCTCGCGTGTCATATTCCTGTCACTAATCACTAACTATACATTGGGTCTGCTCACAGCTTCAATTGTAATGTAATAAAAATACAAAGTTGGAATCGCAAAAGTATAACAACGGCACAAAGAAAACGATAAACAACAAATTCATAAAACTTAATGAAATGTCTTAAAGATAAGTAATCTGACTGATTTACTGATTCGAGATTACAACAGCCTATATGTCCACATGGACAAGGGGCTCTGTAGTAGAGCAACGTGTGGAGGCTCCTTCCCTCCAACTAGCAGCATGTACAACTGGGTTTCCCCATTTCTCGGGACGGTCCGGGATCGCCGTTCGCTCATATCTTGGAGTTCTATGTCTCCAGTCCCGGAGTCGGGCGTCATCGCCGTCCCCAGGGTACGTACGTCGGGTCCCAGGTAATGCGGATTACTGAAGCCTAAGGATGCCCGATTAGGCCGATTCACTATCTCCGCACTCGCATAGTCCGAAGTGGACAAGTCCCCCTCGTCTTCTGTCTTCTCTGTGACGGGGATCTTGGTAAACTTAACGGACGCCGATTTCGGAATTATCGTGGTTTTTTCTATTCCATTCTTTGATTTCATTTCCTCTTCTTCTTCTGAGTCTAAATATACCAGTTTTGTCGCTTCGATGGGAGATAGCACTGGGGTAGGTAGAACCATATCCGCAAAGTCTGGGACGGAAATAGGTTCACGGGACACGTTTCTGCATCGTTCGGGAACGGTTCCTTCTTTAGGGCTCTCGCCTCCATCGGCCGGTTGGCGCTCGTCGATGACGTACGCCGACCGCGATTTCGATAAAGATGTCGATTCTCGGATAAGACTTTCAGTAGAATCCTGGTCTCCGAGGACGCTGTAAGAGCATCTCGCCGCTCGACGAATGTGGAAGGAGGATAGTTTGGAAATTTCTCTCAGGAACCCCGCTGGTGGTTCAGGCCGCGGTTTAACGGGAGCCGCAGGAGCGGAGTGAGCGCGCTGCGGAGCTCCGCTAATAAGTAAGGCGCGGCTGTCAACGCGGGCGGACGGCCATTTTTCGCTTTGCAAGATCCGTTCCCAGGTTTCTGTAGCTAAAATCAAAATAAAGATAAATGGAGAAAATAGTGGTTATACTTGAGTTTTGTTTTAAAAAGTGAATTGCGGGCGAGCTTACCGAAATGAAACCGCCAAAGTTCGTTGGTAGGATGTCCGTTCGTTTCTCCGCCAAAGATGTAAAGGTGTGCGCCCGCCCGTAGACCGGTGTGACCGCTACGTGCAGGCGGCGATAACTTAGCAGGGGTTCGCACTTGTGTCCACACTCGGGAAACTGAAATTGAAGGAAAATTAATACATATCTAAAGTTTCAAACAATTTTAAATGCCAACCTGTGTTCCTTTTACCTGTTTCTATTGAGAGTTCTGTAATTTATGAAATATACAATAAGTAATCATTTGAAGGACTTTAACTTACTGGTATCGTAATGCCAGAGGTCGGCGCAGGCCCTGAGGTCGCATTGTCCACCGTGTATGTACAGTCGCGCCTCGTGCAGCGCTGCAGCGTGCCGATGCCGCGCCGGGCCGATGGTTGACGTTCGCACCTGCTGCCAAGATTCTGATTCTGAAAGATATTACAAGATACGACAATTACAACGAACTTAATCAATTCGATGAAATTTTCCTATTTTTAACGGCCTTACCATAGTGGAAAGCCCACAGTTCATTCGTAGATCCTCTCAAGTCCTTATAGCCTCCGTAAATCAGCAAACAGTCCTTTAGTGCGTGGGCAGAGTGACCGCGACGACCACGCGGGCTTGATCCGTTGCGAGCTTCGCGACTGCTGCGTCTCCGCAGCGTTGAATAGTTACTAGTTTGCCCCGCCAGTTTCCGCCATATTTTCAACTGAAAGTCATAAAGATTTTTAATTCTTCAATTCAATAAGTCTTATCTTTAAGCATTTCAGTTTTTCATTTAGACATGAACTAATAACTCCGTTAAAATTACCTCTGTGTCGTATATCCAAAGAGGGGTCTCATTAGAGAGGGCTCCTGCCTCGCCACCGAACACGTAAAGGCGACCTTCGTGTGCAGTGGCCGTGTGTTCTTGTAGGGCGGGCGGCGGTTCGCCTCGCGCCTCCAACCGCTCCCAACGTCCCGTTGCTAAAAATAAAAGAGATATCATAACTACATAACCTACATGAAAAAATATTAGCAATTATAGATAGGAGATAGATCCACACTAAATCTACATACAATACTGTCTATTGATTTCCAATTCAATAAGTTATCATTATTAACGTTAGCTTCTAAGTAATAGAGAAGAAACTCATTTGTCTTCCCTTCATATTGGCAGAGCACTTAACATAGTTTGGTCTCAAAATAAAAGAAAATCACGTAACAAATTTTCAAACTCGAAGGCTCTCGAACAACGTAAACGTTCTTCAGTTAATTGTGAACGGCACAAAGAAGTGCTGACGTGGCTTAAGTGCCGCCACTCAGTTGAGATGCAACACTTGCAAGCATATTGACAAGTTCGATTCGATGTTGATAGAACACATTAACTCTCAATTTCTTGGCACGCACGATGACACAGAAAGAAAACACCTTTAACCAAATATTTATTTTGAATGTACAAAATTACAAGTTTTAAATCTCATATTCTCTACTCCCCAAAACTAATAATATATGGATAACCGATAATTTTGTAATAGAATGATTTACAACGTCTATGATGTCTACTGACTCCCTTTTGTGTTGGAAGAGCATATACTTACGTATATTACTATCTACTATTGTTACTTTGTGAATTATTCATTAAAGAAAATATAAGAATATGTATTTTATGCTTAATATTGATCGTTGCAGCAAACTTACATAGACAATATCTCCAGAAGTCTCTTAGAGGAACACAGCCGCCCGACCCTCGTCCGCCCAGAATGTAGACATAACCGCCCAGAAGTGTCGCCGAGTGCTTCCCACGCGAACACGGAGCCGCACGAGAAGCCTCTACACCGTTGTCGACCGACACCCACATTTTAGCTGAAAGAATAGTTGTAAATAATTACATTAATGGATGAAAACATAGTTTTTACAAACAGAAGTAAGAAATAAAAGTAGTTGGAACATGTATAAAACATAGTGTTGTAAAACTTGTCTACTCCAGTAGGTTATTGACCTCTACTTACGTAGTTTTAAAGTTGTGAGGCTAAACATTGATTAAAAACCTTAGATTTCAGTTTCTTATTTAATTCTTAAGAAACGTGTCGACATCAAAGACTCGCCAAACGCATGATTCCCCTCAAAACTCCCCTTTGCGATGTAAAGTGTAGAAATACGCCATATGTAGGAAATGAAATGGACCGGCGTCCCTCAGGGCTCCTCATCGGACCCTTCTTCCTTCACTACAACTAAAACTCATGGACTATTATCGTTCCTGTTTCAATTAGGGTCGTTGAGTACGAACATGTAAATATTGGTTAATCGAAAAGAAATATTGCAAGGCAAGTCAGAACAACGAAGGGGTCATGTCGGTCGCAGATTAATTATAGACCACCGGATTCGTACTTAATTACTTCTACAATGTAATATATAAGGTAAGTTTGTTTATATGCCATTTTCAAGAAGTTCAAGTACTGACTGACTAATAATAATAATCAGTGGCGCTACAACTCAGATTTCTGAATCTGTTTCATGATCAGTTTTCAATCTAATACGGAAGTAGGTGATCAGCCTCCCATTGCCTGACACACGCCGTCGACTTTTTTTTGTGTCTTAGACATGTCGGTTTCCTCACGATGTTTTCCTTCACCGTTCGAGCGAATGTTAAATGCGCACATAGAAAGAAAACCATTGGTGCACAGCCGGGGATCGAACCTACTACCTCACGGATGAGAGTCGCACGCTGAAGCACTGCTCTAACACTGACTGACTAAGGAGACGAAAAATTCGGTGTAGATATTATAGTGCACTATAACAAACTACAAGTTTTACCAGGAATTTAGAATCAGTAAAAGCTAGAATGATAAATCACGTTCGAAGATACCGAAGGAAACTTTACTCTTGCCGCGTGGATCGTGCCAACTTTCTAAGAACAAAGTAATTCAGGACCTAACAGATTTAACATAAACATACTATAATTCTATACTTTAAGTTTATTTAATCGGTAACATAATGCACTTCTTTCGACGGTTCATTGGTTAAGTTCACTTTGAGATACGCCGAAAGAATCTTTAAAAATAAATACTCCCGTCCAAGTCAAAGAGAATGCAGAAAGTTATCCCGCAATATTTGATCAACAAAACCTTGACCGTAATGAACCCTTTAGAGAGACCCTCACGGCTGCGGTCTCACTGACGCTTATTGACAGAGTCGCGCATCAAAAATAAAACGAGATGCTGTTTTGTTTAGGGCCCAGAAGTTTCTAAAAGCATTTTTTATATTCAGTAGGTAGAAAGTTGTAAACAAGATTAGCGATCGTCAAAGCTTTGCTGAGTGATTTCAACTTTGAACGTACAATGCGTTGGTAACAAGTTGAACATTGTATTTTATGTTAACGTCTTGCACTATGTTAATATTGAACACAGAAGAGCTCGCTAGGGGACGTCGAGGGCGTAGAAACAAATTGGATTTAGGTCCCACCGTGGCGTCTGGTCTGAAGCGTACCTATTGTATGCTAATGCATAAATAATGCCCTCCGAATTAACCATATGCTTTGGAAACATACTTTTCTGAAAAGGTACCTTACTTTCGTACCATAATTCGTAGGTATATGTGCTAATAAATAGTATTTTCAGTTAGTCCTATTTTATCGTCATTGTTGCAGCAAAAATTTACGATTTTATTCCCTCATTTTGATTGTTTTCAATACAGCCTTCACAGAGGTAGCATTTTAGATCCTCTGTGTGAAGAAGTGTGCTTCGAGCTCCACATCCGCGTCATGGATTTACAACTAAAGCCTCTAAGCCATTGATTGGAAAGATCATTCTGCCCTGAACATTTTAACACCCCAACTTTTATAAATAGGGATGAAAATGAAAACTTTCAGCCAATAAGGGTGGGTCCAACCAGACGATAATAATTTGCAATGATTGCATTGATTCATAGCAGATAAGTTTATGTATGGTGAAAGATAGCAGTTATATTCATATCCCTGCCTTTAACTTTTATTCGTCTTAAGAACGAAAGTGTCTGATTGGACCGTGAGTAAATCACTGCAGTTTTTATTCAATAACATATTTTATTAACGCTTGGGGAAGTTATTTAGTACTTTACGTATTAAACTATGATTTCAACTATTAACTAAAGTTCAAAGTTCATCGAGCGATCCATTAGACAATGTAGCTGTGTGTATGCGCCTTAAAATGCATAATAGTGAAATTATCTCTCCCCTTGAGGGTAACGACCCTCAGCGCAACTGTTGGTGTGTCAGGACAAGGCCGATATTTACGATACAATTTGGCGCGTTGTCTCAAACACCGGTTATTAGTAAGCAGCCCTCACTGACAGGGACTTGTCTGCTTATTGGGACTATTAGGGGCTTTTGTTGTCTACTTTTAATGGAATATAATGTTTATTTAATGGGAAAGTTAAAATAGTTCCATAATAATAACATAGATTTTAAACATAAGTTTGGTTTAGGAAGCATAATTTATTAGTATAAGCATTTAGTAAATTAAGATTTGTAAGCATCGGAAGCTATTCCATTTTGATTACTAATAAACCTTCCATTAATAGATTAGAAGATTGTTTCAAAGTAATTACAAAATAGTATATTTCACCATATAACAGATAAAAGTTCGTATCGCGGTTGAAAGGCTGCTTTATTTTAATGATGTTTTGACTGCAAAACGGAAAAACCAGCGAGCATAATCGTCAATAGTCAGTGAAAAGCGGGCTTCAGATTTCAGTTTAGTTAGAGTTGGCTTCGTTGCACAATGCAGATTTACTTACAAACGTAGAGGATATATCTTCTGTATACTGGCTTAATGTACTAATTATTTTCTTTCATACAAATTCTGAAAAAATGGGAGTAAAAGTAATTTTTAGTTTACCAAAAAAAATTTCATATTCACTTTCACGCTGACTGCAAAGGCAATATCAAAGAAAAAGCATACAAAAAGTCGTGCAGTACCATTTTACATGATCTCAAGAGAATGTAAAACGTAAACAATGCGCAGTGCAATCTGTGCCTTAGGCATTTCCAGCTTGCTATTGTGAAGCTGCGAGCTAACTTTGCCTAAACGGGGAGGGCGCCTAGCAGGAACAATATTTTTGTCACAGCTAGGTATAGCTTAGAAATCGTTCTTATACCTAGTTCATACGTGTTTACGGTCGATAACCTTAGCTTTCCTTCACCGTGTGGAAATTTTAAACAGTTTTCTTCGTGTGTCGGTCGATATCCAACTGTTTAATTTTAAGCAACATTGATGTGTAAATCCAAGCAAAATTCGTATAACAATAATTACTATACGATTACCTACATTATAGTGTTATTATTCTTTAACTGGTTGCGAAATTGCTGTGGTGGGATGACAATAGGTTTGTAATTATCAAATTAGAATACTTTGCCATTCACATCATTCAAATTTATTATAAGAGATTTAGATAAAAATAAAATATTCGTGGAACAGAGAAAAGCTAACATAAAAATGTAACTGACATTTTTGGAGCCCACGCCCCACAGGGGGCAATTTACTGGATATGACACAACTTGGACGCTTGAGACTGAAGCTAACCAAATTGGGAACTAACAATAAATCTCCGTGCATCAAGCGCAAGGATCTCACTAAATTGATATAAAAAAATCTTTATTAAAATTATTTAGAATTTGAATTACAGTTTATTGTTTTGAAAATTTACTTACTGTGTTTCGTTAACAATTTCCTAGTGATTTCTTAAGTGATCATATAATAATATAAAAATTATGTATCTTACATATAGTTAGGTATATAAGAATTTTAGGGGCATGCCACAAAAAACGTTGGCAAACACTGCACTAGAGCATGTTATGTACATAATGTATCGACAGCAATCAAATCGTTAGGCAGTTAATAATGTCTCCCAGCGGAGTGGCCGACCGGGGGCGGATAAGCGACGGAACGAGATCAAAACAGCCTCTCGCCCCTCCTCACACCCCGAACCCCTAGTAGGAGGTGCAATCATTCAACGGAGCCGATGCTACCATAACCCACTATTCAAAGCAAATATAGAAAGAAATACTTATGTAATTTTGTTTTGAATTAGTATTTCCTTATTTGTTTGAGAGATTTTGTTTCACTATGATAGGTGACGCTAAATTCTAAACGCATACTGACGGTAACTGCTCAAGCTTACTATTTAGAATTAGCTGAAGGGTGATTATACAATTAAACTCACATTGTTGGTAATTGTATTGTGCCGGTTCCTTCGCCTCGGTTCAAATGGATATGATTTGCCTTAAATTATCATGAAATCCAGGAGCTAAACCAGTGTAGCATAGGTTTATTTATTGTTCAACAACACCCTCCTTTTTGTAAATCACTCGTGTGGAAGAAACGACCCGCTATTTAAGCTGCCTCGGTTTTGGCGGTAAATAAAAATTCATATCACTATGATTTTTATTATATGAATAAATTATAAGGAAGATAACTTTTAAGGAAGGAAATCTTTTAGAGATATTATGCAACTGTGCCTAAACTATACAAAAATTAATTACAATGCGGGTAGACTCGAGTGGTCTCCATTAAGTATCTGGGAATGTATAGGTATACTGCTATAAAAGTAAGGTAAACAATACAATCGTAATTTTTTATATAAATACATATTTACAAAAGAGTAATTTTAATCAGAATTAACTAAACGTATATTATTAAGTATAACACTCATGAAAACCTGTAACCCTAAGCAGTTCGCCACAAGCAATTGCTCGACTACTAAACGAATGGAATAAAAACATCCTTACCTATATTTTCGCATCCGTTTAGTCTGAGTAAGGATTAGGTTCATTGGGCGCATTCACTTAACACGAATTTGTCATTTATAATAGGACCTAATAGGTAATTTCATAGATTTTGTTTACAGGCTTGTAGTCCATTGAACTACAGCGTAAAACGCGCGACGCAGCGGTCCCCTCAGAAGTCAGATTTGTACTGGGGTCTGGGGTTGAATCGTGAAGGGTGCGTGGCGGGGACGGGGTGCGTTCGGAAATTCAGATTTCGGGGTGGAAAATCTACCTTGTTAGAATGCCTCGCAATGAAAATGTACCGCGCGTTCTCTGGCTTTTTATGATGAGGTTATGTATTACGATTAAATATAATATAGCAATGACTTAACTATGCATATAATAAATTATGTCGGTAATAATATTAGTATACGCTCCGGTGCAATTTAAAACTACAATTTAGTTATACATTTATTAAGTTCCTAAATAATTAAAATATACATGACTTTTTTAAGTGTTCAGGTTCAAAATAGTGTTCAGCCTCGCCCAATCAGCTCCTAAAATTATTTTACAAATTCTATTACTTTATTTATATTATACAAAACACAAGGTTATTTTTCGTGCCAGTTACGATGTCTGGTTCCAATAAATTTATTGCGTAAGCAAAGCTCAAAAGATGACATAAGAAGTAGCCTTATTCTATTTAGTACTATAAGAAAAGAGGTCATGTCGCAAGGATCTGGAAACATTATATAATGTTTTAAAATAAGGTCAACGTCGGTCGGCGAACTGGCTTGGCTTTCCTTTGTTTTACACAAAAGCAACAATTAATTGGTAGTTGTAACTGCATGCAATATTTTAAATATGTGTCGCCAAAAGGGTTATATTTATATATTAGGTACTAGCCGACTGACAAAGTATGAACCATTGTTTTCTATGCACTTTTGCCACATCATAGGTAGTTCATTGATCCTCTTACTAAAAAAACCAGTCGGACGGGAATCAATAAAATCTGTGATGGCGATTTGGACTGCCCCATCAGAGTTAAATTTTTTCCCTTGCAAGAAGTTGTCCAAATTTCGAAAAAAATGGTACTCTGTTGGAGCAAGGTCCGGGGAGTACGGAGGATGTCTTAGACATTCCAATTGAAGCACTTATAATTTGGTAGCCGTCTGTGTGCAGTGTGTGGTCTAGCGTTGTCGTGAAGTAGCAGTGGCGTGGAGCGATTGACCAGCCTAGGTTGTTTAGCCGCTAGCTTATCCATCATGGTTTGCAATTGCTGACAATAGATATCAGCCGTAATAGTCTGGCCAGATTTGAGAAAGCTGCAATGAACAATACCGGCACTAGTCCACCAAACGCTTACAAGTAACAAGTTAATTTTCGCTTGGGGCAGGATTTGGCTGGCTGGCCAGGATCCAACCATTGCGCTGAGCACTTCCGATTATCGTAAAGAATCCATTTTTCATCACAGGTAATGATTCGGTTTAAAATACCTTCATTATTGTGCCAGTTCTGTAATGTAACGCAGCAGTCGACGCGCGTTTGCTGGTTTGCTTCAGTCAATTCGTGAGGTACCCATCTTTCAAGCTTTTTAATCTTCCCAATTTGCTTAAGTGAATTAAAACCGTTTTATCACTGACACCGCAGCCTGCAGCTAACTCGGACGTGGTTTGCGATGGATCCGCTTCCACAATAGCCTTCAATACTTCATTATCAACTTGGGTCTCAGGCCGTCCACGGGGCTTGTTCTGCAGGTCGAAATTTCCAGAACGAAAACGTTGGAACCAAAAACGAACTGTGTTTTCTTTTGCAACATGACCGCCATACACATCATTCACCCTTCAAGTCGTTTCCGCAGCACTAGTTCTACGGCGGAACTCGTATCGTAAATAATGCGATACTTTAAGTTTTCCATTTTGTAAAATGAGTGACGCAAACAGAAAAAAACAGAAGAAAAAAACAAATGAATGGCGGTCATCGAAGCACAAATACATGAGTAAATAGCTGTACAAATTTGAATTTGGAATTCCTTACCAAAGAGGAGAACATCGTGATTAAAGTGGCCAGTACGAAATACGCCAATTTCATATGTAAGGACCTAATATTATAGCTTATGAGAGTCGATACATATACATCTTTCAAAATTTTCATTATTGAGAATTATTTATTAAAATTTAAAACCTAAACATAACAATCAAAATAATATACATTAGGTATTTACAATTTTCTTAACCTACATAGTAAGAATATAAATAAAAAAAAATTAATAAAAAGAAAATTAAAACAAATTAAAAAAGTTTGGTCCCTGTGGCAGCGTACCTTAAACGCTGGCAGCATTTCCTCGCTATATTGCGATTCTTATTCGAGCGAGGAAAGCACCAGCTCTGGGGGCATCGGTACTATCTACCAGGAGCTAACCTAATAGTTAGCGCCTGTGCTCTTGAACTCCACGGCCCAAGAGTATCTACTTCTTTTATTGAGAATTAGGTTTTATTTAATAATAGGGGTTCTGAATAAATTTTAGTGACGGCGCTTTGATCAAAAGGAATCAACCTTGTATCAAATGGGTACCTAATCGATAATGATTAGGATTATCATGCTCATCTGTAGGTGGGTAAAGTTTTTGCATGTTTCAGTGCACCAACTTTTACTCATCTGTTTCCTAGTAAAAATACTGTTATATAATTTAAATAGAATTTGTGTTTTACGTTTCAAGGATTATAATATATCCAGACTAATAATATCTTGCGAATATTATTAGTCTCGATGTTGAATCATACCATGAATCGATAAGTTATTGAGACATATTCTAATTATGATATAATATTATTATATCTTCTAATCATAAGACATGATCTTAGGGCATAATACAATATACAAAGTTAGAACTATTTCATTACAACAATTTTTTGTGCCAACGCGGAACGCCACAAGAGTTTTAATATTTTAAAACTCTAACTACTTATATGTTCTTTTAAGCCTTATTTTTAACAATTTAATCTAAATAGTTCAATTATTCGTTTATCAAGCAATCAATCAATTATTCATTATTAATTAAATTAAAAACATCAAGCGACAGTGTAACATACTTTATTTTTGACATTGTCGCTTGATATACGAATAATTATTGCCTGTGATAGATTTATTTAGACTATGTTATCTCTATAGCTGTCAGTTTTTACCTTTCAGTTCAAGCCCACAGACTGTAACATATCCAACAATAGTTTCTTTTAATAGTTGACAGATGTTGGGGAAAATTTTGACATTTCATTAAATTTAGGAAAACCAAAACTCTGCTCAATATATAATTAGTAATTACCAACTGGAACTGTGATTACAAATTAGAAAGACTAAGATAACTCACTGTAAAAACGTTTCCATCCAGGGCATGTTGTGTTCCTCAGTTACCGAGCGATGAGGTAATTACAAATGAGTAGCTATATTTTAGTTGCATCACTTTAAGTTGAAGGAGAAACGATGGCGAAGTTGCGCTTTTTATGGTCGTATATACACTATAATATTGTTTGACGTTTTACAGATAATTACTGTTGATGAGCGACTCTCGCTCTGCTTGGAGATCTCAGAGTCATCATGACGCGAGCCGGACCGCCTAGTGAAAATCTTCCGACTGTAAGTAAATTCGGCAAATCGACGATTCTTCTGATTAATTTAAACGAAACCAACGTATTATTTGTATGCATAGTTTCGCTTTATAAAGTTAATTCTTCCTATATGTAATTTATGAAATTTGCGCACAGGATAAACCCAATATGAAGTAGATTTAAATAGAAAAAATAATAATTTTGCAATAATTTGTTTAAATTACCTTTTGGCTATTTTAAATTTTTAAATGTTTTATCTATTATTTGCATATTGCTAGTTATTTGTGGGTGAGTATCTGCTTAAAATATTAATTTGCATTTTTTTTTTGATTTCCTTACAGATTTAGATTGTCAGATGACTATATTCAGGGACAGTGATAGTGTATGTTTGTTTCTGTTTTTCTTGTGTACCTCAATGTCATATATTTGCATGTTTATGCCAAACATCTAGTTTTAACTAGGATTTCTTTGTAGGTCTAGGCATGGTGTTTTTTTATGACCTTTGGAATTCCCCCTAAAATATGTATTAAAATTTAGAAAATAAATATGTATATATATGAAAATTATGGTAATAACTGTTGTATATCCCTGTGTATAAAATTTCAGTGGCAATTTAATAATTAATTTTTTTTCATAGTTAGCTTTTAATTAATAAAACACATAATTTTTCAGGTAAAGTTAGTTGTTGTTGGCGATGGTGGGGTTGGCAAGAGTGCAATCACAATTCAGTTCTTCCAAAAACTATTTGTAACAGACTATGATCCCACCATTGAGGATTCTTATATACAACACACGGAGGTGGATGGACAGTGGTGCATACTTGATGGTTAGTTTGAACTTTATATTACAAAATGAAGTTAGAAACTTTCTGTTTTGTTATTGCCATCAAGATCAACTAAATCCCCAATATGGAAATTTAGTAATACACTGTTATGGTTCTTGGTTTGAATAAGAGAAAGAGAGTAAGTGTAAATACTATTCTATTACTGTATAATATAAACCTCAAGCATATGTTTTAATCTAATACTTGTTACCCACTGTCAACTAGATCTTAGAAACCTTTCCATATTAGGTCCTCTCTTTCTCTCCCCTAGTTTCTGTATTCTGTGGAATGGTGCTCAACATCAAATTTGTATGAATGTAAAAGGCATATTCACTAATATTTCAGTACTGGACACAGCCGGTCAAGAAGAGTTTAGTGCTATGCGGGAACAGTATATGCGAAAAGGAGATGGTTTCCTACTGGTCTACTCCGTGACTGACAAGCAGAGCTTTGAAAACATCCGGCATTTCCACACCCAGATCCTCCGAGTTAAGGACAGGGAGACATATCCAATGCTGATAGCTGCAAATAAGGTAGTTTGGAATTATAAAAGAACAAAGAATTAATTGCAGTGTAAACTCCATGTAACGTAACATATTAACAACAAACCCCCTAAAGAGTCGAAATCACTCGGCTTTGGTTTGTTTAGTTTGTCTTCCATACAATGATACACTACATAGCATTACACCCACCCTCAATAACAACAACAATTAAATACTAAACAGTACTTTTTAAGTTGCCGAAATTAGTTAAAACTGCGGAGCTGTGCACGTTGTTTTCGCTTTATTGTCCTAGCGAGACATAAACTCGACTGTCGGTACTAGTCATACGTACTGAACTTTCCAAGAAATCCGTTTTGTTTTTTTTACAAATTGCGCTTGCTTGCATGTGATAAAGCACCAAGAAGCCTCAATATCATAAGATATGAATTAAATAAGTAAAAAAATACAACATGGTGTGCTGCAAAAGACGTCAGACGAAAAGAACAAACTGCGCAGTAGCGTTCAAATAAGAATTGTTTTTTATGTAATTGCTAACAGTAGTCTGAAATAAAGTTTTTCTCTTTATATTTTATTATTATTCTTTATTATTCTTATTTATATACAGATTTTTATCTTTCTATTTAACGACAACTCTTTGTAATGTCAAAATAAGCAGTCCCTTGAGTGCCGTTATATACAGTTTACACTGATTATACTTATCATATTATTTTTTCAAATATGGTTAATTTATTTGACTTAGCTTTTATTAATCTAAATATCGCTCAATATTAGGTGGATTTAGTCCATTCACGCGTAGTAAGCGAAGAGGCAGGTCGCGATATGGCAAGACATCTCAACGCGCCCTACATCGAGACCAGCGCTAAAGAGCCGCCGCTTAACATTGATGCTGCATTCCATGAGGTATATTCATGTCATTTCATTTAGGTCTTATAGGAAGGATTTAGCTCATGTTTATGTGTTGATATGAAACATGTTTTCCTACTTGTTGTGGCATTTGACATAAACAATGTCATTTATGTCAGATATACTCGACAAACATTCAGTATGTATCTATTGGCACTATTACAATATTTATAAAGTTTACATACATTATGGAATAAGTTGAATATATGGAAAATAATTAGATTTTGGCTTCAGCTCGTCCGTATCATCCGGAACCATCCGCAGCAGGAGGAGAAACAACGTCGCCGAAGGAAGTTTTTCACTAAATGCCAAATACTTTAGAAACAACTTAGTCTTAAGATACCCGTCGTAAGACAAGAACCAAAGATACCATGAAATTATTTATTTGAAATGAATATGATTGTCCTAGAAAATGTTCTAAATGCGATATGTATTGGAAAGTAAACAGTACTGTTTGTGCAATATTCAAAATCGTTACGAGAATTGCTGTTAAAGTAAAATGTCTTTATTTTAGCATCCGTACATTTATCAAATTGTAGTCAAGATAATATGGAAGCTTATTTTATGACTTAAGTATAAGTTACAGTATTAACTATCGATTTCTATGTATAAAGATCTCCAAAGAATATATGCTAAAGAAAAGTTATTGTGGCTTTTTAAATGTTAAAGTGTTATATATTTTTATTCAAATTAACATGACTGTTGAACACTCGCTCATAGAATATAATAGATCTGATAATGTGAAAAAATGCTTAAAGCATAAACTATATTTTCTTAGAAATAAGCAATGTTCAAACCAAGATACACTCCAAGAGCCTAAAACGACCCCACTACGCATAAGATGCGCAGATGTCGCTACGTTATACTTATATCGTCTCAACGCATGTATACTCAATCTGTGAACATTATTTCAACACATTGAGTATATGGTGATTAGTTAAGCACAAATGTATTTTCGCAATTATAAGTGAATGATTAAGAAGGCATTTTGTTTTTGCACTAAGTGTTTGTAGTTAATAGACAAATCTCTAGATGGCGCTGTGAGAAAAATGTTATACCAAGCATGAATTTGCGAGAACTTTGCCTTCTATGCTGATATGTGTTTTGTCTAGTTTATTGGATATATATTTATAAGTCGATCGTTGAAAGGAAATACCAAAGCATTTAAATAAATAGATTGGGTCCCGTCCTTCCTTATTGTTTATGAGATCCATTGTGTGTTAGCATTCTATATCTACTTTTCTTTTATTGTTGTCCCATCTATGTTATGAAATATATTTTTCTTCATTTATGTTTTTATTTATTTAAAAAATACCTCAAAAATCGATGTACATCATGCATATTTGCATAATTTTCAAATGTTATAAATGAATAAAAAGCTGGCTTTATTTAATTACGTAATGTAATGTCTCGTGACCTAGTTACACTCGAAATAAAATTAAGTTTTTTTACAACTTTTAGTAATTTTAATATAGATGCGGAAGTAACATTGTCGCGTAATCTACAATCAGTGCGTTGAAGCCACACCCTAACTCGCGATATCGCTGGAGCATTCACGGCATTCAGTGTTGAGATTAGTTATGCATCTTCCCATTAGGTTGGAGGAAGAGCACACCATCCTTTCTCCACAATATCATCATTTAGATAATACCGGCGAAGGCCTTTTTCCTGCTTCCGCATTCGAAATTGAAAGAGCCATTAGTTGTATATGCGAAAGTAATTACTCCCAAGAGAATAAAGCGAAACGACGCTCGGTTTTAAGCTAGGTTGAAGGCACACAAACTGGGTCGTAGCAAGGACTTAATGAGAAACTGCTACAGAGACTTATTAAGCCTTACTTTAGTTTTGCTCGGAATCTCAGTTTCTTCGGGTATATATATTTTTTTAAACGTTTTCCAGATAATTCCCCGACTATGTAGTCGTCGGAGGTGTTAAAAAGCTTACATAAATGGTATTAGTAACCCGAATGTTTACTTTCTATTACTATTTCTACTACTACCTATTTCTTTTGACAACCCCCTGCATGACCCTCACAGCAAATCCCAAAAAGATGCCCCTCAACCTAACATTGAGCATTATTCCCTTCAAACTGGTCTCCGCTACCCTCATGCCCATAGCTTGCTCAGTGTTATACCTGTCGTATCCATACATGGGACAGTCGGTCAGAACATGCAACACTGTCTCTTCAGCTGCATCGCCACAAGGACAGGCAGCACTTTGTCTAACCCTGAACCTGTAAAGATACGACAAGAAGCCACCGTGACCTGTCAACATCTGAGTAATCAATCCCGTTGGTTTCATTTGTTTAATTATCAAAAAGGCCGAGGCAACATTTGGAAGGAATAACTTAGTTATTGCAGCTGTTTCGCCGTCTCGATATCTGTGATTCCATTTTTCTAACGTGTTTCCACGTAGACAGTTCTTCAAATGCGATATGGGAAATCTATTGTACACGGGCGCCTCTTCTAGATGCGCAGCTTCCTTTGCTAGTCGGTCTGCTCTTTCATTCCCCTCCATGCCCGAATGCGCTTTAACCCAAAAAATATCAATTTTTTATTAATAAATTATTTATGTTCTTACGAATTTCAACTACAAGGGGATTGAAAGAGCGACCACCCGCAACACTTTCGAGTGCATTTCAGGAGTCACTATATACGCCGTAGGTTGTTTCTGGGTGACAAAGGATCCTTTGAGTTGCTTCATAAGGAAATAGCCACCAGTTCAGCTTGATACACGGAACAGCATGAAGATAGTTTCAATTTAAAAGTCTCAAATTACCATTTCCATAAGGAAACGCTGGCACCGACCAATTCGTCTATTTTACTTCCGTCCGTATATATCTTTACTGCCGGTACTTCTATTCTAGGACCTTCTTGTTCTCTATAGGCAATAAATTTGATATCAGGTTCTTTGGAGGGGTGAGGAATACACATCCACGATACTCTTTGCTCCAGGTCACCTTCCAGTTCAGACTGAAATAATCCTCTCTTTGCTTCGTATAGCACAGCGGCCTCCTGGATTCTAAGGTCTAGGGGCAATAGTCCAGCGAGGATCATGCTTGCATTCAGTGATACGGTTCGGTAAGCTCTGCAGAGCTTCAGCGCAAAGCCTCGTTGTACTGAATTTAATTGCTTCCTAATTCCTATTTTTTTAGTGGCCGGAGCCAAGACTGCTGCCGCATATAAGATTATCGGCTCGATGACTGCTGTATAAATAATATGAATTACATCTCGGTGTAAACCCCAGCCAATTCTCGCCGCCCTTGCTAATTGTTTGTAAATATTTGTTGCTTTCCTGCATATATTGGAGATATGTTTATTAAAGGTCAATTTAGCATCGAGAGTCAAACCAAGTATATTTATTTCATATGATATGTTTACGGACACTCCGCCCATATTCAAATGTGGTTTGTCATATTTTATTTTTTTGTTTTTTGTGGAGCAAATCTAAGTCTATTTTTGGTACCCCAATCTATTACATAGGCAAGAGCAGCATTAGCATTTCGTTCTATTTCAAATGCTGATTCTCCGACAAACACCATGATGACGTCGTCTGCATAGGCTTGACGTAGGCTTCGGTTATATTATGACACCTTGACATAATCGCTGAACATCGGTTTGTACAAAAGCATAGATAAATAGAGGGGAGCGGGCGGCGTTATCAGACGATGACAATGAATAGATTATGCCTATGTGTAAATGTAAGAGTCGGTGACACTGGGGCAACTACATAATTCGCGCGAAGGACAAGTCTATAAGAAACTGAGTCTCAATATAAGTATTGTTTGAAGGTCGATTACTGATGGCTTCCACTTCGACTTAAGAGAAATGAAAATAAGATTATAGTCTTAGATTTTGATTACATTTTTTTTAAAATTAATATACAAAGAAATACATTTTATTTGAGAAGCTTTCAGCGCGAATTATAATACAAAAATTATCATTTTACTGTCTTCTCACAATTCTCTGACTTACGTCTAGATTCGACCGAATGCCGGGCATCCTCAAGTATAAGCTGAAATTGCGATCTTTGGAATATAAGGATATTGTTAGCTTATCTAAATCGAACATTCGAGAGTTAGTTGATAATGTATTTTAAACACTGCTAAAGCTAAGACCCCATAATATTAGATGTAGGGTAACCACACAGTGTTAATTGTTACTTCCGCATTACTGTAACAAAAACACTTCATTATAGATAGTAGGTAAAAGGAAACGATTTTACCGCGACGTTGAAAGTAAAACCCTTATATTTTATTATATATTAGAGGTAAAGAATAAATAAATGGAATTGAATCTGCTGTTAAATGTATTAGTTTTAAGATAGACGTACTATTTGTGTGATTGAGAAAATATACAGAATGAACTGTTTGGTCGACGTTTTTAATGAATTCCAATTCAAAAATATGCACTGGCGTTATGACCCATCCCACAACAACCATTATTGATATAACACAACCAAAGGTTTTATTAAACCCATTTCATTTAAATAGAAGAACCCGAACAACTCCCCTCGGATAAACCATTTGGCGTATTATGTTGTTATTTTGAAGTCTAAGCGACTTCAATAACGTCAACAATTAGGAAACTTAACGAAGCATCGATAAAGCTGATATTATTATTTTATTTCTAAACGCCCCGGTGTTGATAAAAAACACAACTATTCTTTGTACTATTCTTTCTATATAATTATCAGCAGCTAGTTGCCAAGATGTCTTAAAAATCCCAAAACGGTGCTTACATCATACTATTAGTGTTCCAGCTCTAATGAAGTAGTTTGAAGAGTCACATCTGGCATTCGATCGAACGATGATCACACACATGACGATGATCACTATACATATATAACAGTGTACGTACAACACAAAACCTCTTCTAACCAATTTAGAGTTCTTGATTATTCGTGAGGCTTATCTCTAAAACGTTTCAGGCTTTATCGTAGGCTCGGCGTTCAGGAACGTTTAGTGATACATAATTATAATAGTAGTGTTAGTTTTTGTCTTTATTTTTAAATAATGAAAAGAATAACTGGTTACTTAAAATAATGATATAATGATATAATAATAAAATATTATTCGCCAAGTAGGCGTCATAAGTAAATAAGAAAACCCTTTATTATCTGACAGAAAAGATCCTTTACTAACAATTCGCAACTATTTACAAATTTTCTTTAACAATCGACGGTTCAGGCAAATTGTGTACCAATAGGTCAGTAGAGGCATATCTTTTAATATTAACGCATAATGAATTCACACTTTTCTTCTTAATATTTATTCGTAAAAGATTCAATTCCTTCCTAAGATTTTCGTTGAGAATTCGTAG